CGCGCTCCGTTGCCTGCCGGCTCGTGCCGGCCCGGCGTGTTTCTCCCCGCAGGATGGGCCGCTCAGGGATCGCCGTGCTGGCTGCCCTCCTGTCCTCCCTGCCCTGCTGGCTGGGAGCCCCGTGCCCCCCCGCGCCCACCCCCAGCAACATCACACACACTTCGTCTGCACCTTCCTGGCCCTCAGCAGCTTCCCCAGCGGCTTCCCCAAGGAGACCCAGCTCATCTCCGTGGAGTTCACCAACCTCTCCCGCATCGGCCCGGAGGCCCTGCAGGACTTGCAGGCGCTGCCCCAGCTCCGAGAGCTGCACCTCTCCAGCAACCAGCTGAGGAGCCTCCCCGCAGGCCTCTTCCAGGAGCTGCCTGCGCTGCGGGTCTTGGATCTCACCAACAACCTCCTGGAAACGCTGCCCCCGGCGATCGCCAGCTCCCGTAGCCCGCTGCAGCACCTGGTCCTGAACGGGAACAGGCTGGGGGCCCTGAACGCCAGCTGGTTCCAGACCATGGGGGGGCTGGAGTGGTTAGATGTGTCCAATAACCAGCTGTGGGCCCTGCCTCCCAACTGCTTCGGCAACCTGAGCAGCCTGCAAAGCCTGGACCTCTCCCACAACCTGCTGGACCGGCTGACTCCGGACATGCTGGTTAAACCTGGAAGGCAACCGGCTCCACACGGTGGCGGAACACACCTTCGACCTGCTGCCGCGCCTCCGCTACCTCTTCCTCCAGAGCAACAACCTGAGCGCCCTGCCGACCCGGCTGTTCGGAGCGCTGGGCCAGCTGGCCTTGCTCGACCTCTCCAACAACAGCCTGGCCCACCTGGCCCCCTGCTTCTCGGAGCAGAGCCTGGCGCTGGAGCTGGATCTCTCCGGGAACCCATGGGTGTGCGACTGCGCCATGCTCTCCTTCATGCAGTGGGCGACGGGCCGCTCGCTCGGCTTCTACGGCCTCCAGCGCACCCTCTGCGCCACCCCCGAGAGCCTCCGGGGCCAGGCGGTAGCAGCGGCCACCAAGGAGGGTCTTGTTGCTTCCTGCTTAGCTGCACCGGCAGAGCGCCTGGGCCTCTGTAGCCCCACTCCGGGCCATGCTCCCTAGGCCTCCTGCGGCCGTGCCCATCACCCTACCCACAGGACTGGCCTTCCCCTTGCCCACTTGCCAGCTCACCCTGGGTCACGGATCAAATGTCTGCCTGAGACCAGCTGCAGCAGGAGAGAGAAGAACCCATCACCCCCCGACTCCCACCCCTCTATGCCATCCTGGCTGACACCTTCAGACACCCCTCCAGTGCCTCAGGGACAGGCCCCAGGGATCTCCCCCCTGCTCTACTCCTGAGGGGTGGTCCCCACTAAACACCCAACAGAACCCCCACCCCAGCAAAAAGTGCAGACACAGGCTATAGCTGCCACCTGGAATCTATCCTTCTTCAGGCCCCAGCTTCTGAGCCTGGCACCCAACTCCCACCGCCAGCTGTGCACCGAGTGGCCTTGGAAGCCCCGAGGTGCCTGTGTCGTGGGAGTTGGGTGGCTCTGGGAGGCGGGTTTTATGGGAAACCTCAGGGACTGGAGTTCGCTCTGGAAGGGGTTGGCTTGGATTAGGATCCCTGGACTTGAGCAAGGTCCCTGCCTGCTCCCAAAGAGAGCACCCAGCAAGATAGAACCACAGAACACTAGAACTGGAAGGGACCTCGAGAGGTCATCGAGTCCAGCCCCCTGCTCTCACGGCAGGACCAAGCACCGTCTAGATCACCCCTGACAGGCGTCTGTCCAAGCTGCTCTTAAATATCTCCAGAGATGGAGATTCCACAACCTCCCTGGGCAATTTATTCCAGTGTTTAACCACCCTGACAGGGAGGACGTTTTTCCTAATGTCCAACCTAAACCTCCCTTGCTGCTATTTAAGCTCACTGCTTGATGTCCTAAGACAGTGGTGCTCAACCTTTTTTCATTCGCAACCCCCGGAGCTGGGAAAAATTTTGTTGAGCAAAAAAAAAAAAAAGCCGGGAACATTTTAATTTAAAGTGCCGGGAACATTTAATTTAAAGTGCCGGTCCACTCTCCTGCCACCCCCGCTGCTTGTACATCGGACGCCGAGCCGGGAAAACAGAAATAGTGGCCGGCCCAGATCAAAGCACTATGACCCCCCCGAAAAACAGCCGCGACCCACAGGTTGCTCTGTCCTAAAATACGCAGGGCTCCCTTCTGAGCTGGCTATGGCCAGGACTTCCCCTCCCTGCTGCTCCCCATCAAGAAGAGGTCCTCTACGTGGAGTGGAATCTAATAGGACCGAGTCAATCTGGCTACCCAGGGGAGTCGGCCCAGTTCAGCCACATGCCTTCGAAGCGTCTCCTTGGACCAGCAAAGCCCAGCAGTTGCAAGCTGGCTAGATGCTCCCCAGGCAAGGTCCCAGAACAGAAGCCCCCCCCGCCTCCCCCGCCCATCCCAGGCCTCTGTTAGCCCCTGAAAGATCCTAGGACCAGGCGTCCCATCCAGGTCCCAACGGTCCGGGAGGTTGGGTGTTGGAAGGAAAACACGGCTCTAGAAAGAGGGGGACACAAACGAAGACTAACTCCTGCGCTCTGGTCAATGTCACCTCCGTCTCTGTGCCTGTCCTGGCCCTCGTGCTTGGTCGATTGCAGCCATTGTGTTTTTTTAATTGGAAACAAACCATCGACTGTTGCACGTTAACGTCTCGCCGGCAAATTTATGGCGGAACTAGGGTCCTCAGGAAGGTTTAAATTAAACTGAATTGTTTAAAGCTGCTGCGCAATTTGTCCTGATTTATCACGCCAATAAAAAGCGAGAGCCAGCGCTGCCTCCGGACCCCAGCGTGGGTGGCGGGGCCTTTGTGTAACACACAGTGGCTGCTGGTGGTTGGTGTAGCTTGAAAATAAACACAGTTGCCACTGGGGACAGGGACGGGTCCTTGTTTCACTGGGGGAAGGGGTGGAGAAGAGAGGCTCATGGGGGTGAAGTTCAGCTGGTGGTCTTGGGAAGCCTGGACCCTTCTCAGAACTTCCATCATCTGCAGACTCCGGCGGGGGGCCTCCTGCGAGCTGGTTTGCTCTAAAGAGGATCCTGAGCTGCAACTTTAGTCCCGACTTCTGGATGCCCTTCCCCGAAGGCCAGGGGGTCAGGTTAGCCCTTTGAGAGATGGACCCAGTGGCCATGGTCACAGCCAGATCCGCATGTGCCAAAAGGGAGTCCGTGTCCGCAGGGCCGGCTTGAGCCATTCCTGCACCCCAGGCAGCAGGCGCGCAACGATGGCGCTGCTCCGCCCCCGGGCGCACCTTACAGCTGACATCAGGTGCCTCCCATAGGGCCCCCCACTTAATCCGGCCCTGCATGTCCGTGATCGGGGCGGTTACTCACCAGCTGCCAGATGAGGGATGAAAATCTCTCTGCCCCTGGGGGAAAGTGGTCACAAATCTACAGATGTCTTATGCCAAGCATGGCGTCTTATTGCCGCCAGTGACGGGCTTGGAGGCAGCTTTCCTCCTGTGATCTGCCACCGCTTGGCCCCCTCACAAGCCAGAGAGCGGCCAGCTGTGTGCTGGTGGTAGAGGAAAGGGGGAAGCCGACGGTAGAGGAAAGCACTCGTCTTGGGACCAGTCCCGCTGACGAGGCGCAGCCGTCCGATTTCACAGTGCAGCCTCCACCTGCCCCAGATCCCGGGCTGTGTAGCACCCAGCCTACAAGGGGCCCCGAAGGAGGGGGCACCTCACAGAACAGCACGGGGCTGGAGGGAACCCCACTTTTCAAAGCTTTGAATGAACCCACTTTTCCAAGCTTTGAATGAACCCACTTTTCCAAGCTTTGAACCAACCCTTAAGTGGTGGGGCTTCTATCCCGTTCGGTTGAGGAGACAGTCGCAGAGCGCATCCTGCTGCAGGGAGGGGGGGCTGGGACCCCCAAAGCCACTGCAGTGGGGCTCCAAGCTATCCGGGGTGGGTCCAATTCCTCCTGTCATCTCCTCTACCATACAAATGCCCCGGGTCCATCGGCCGGCCTCCCTCAGCGGGATCTGCCCTACTGAATCTGGGAAGCTGCATTTTGGGGCCTTGCCCCCTGGCTTCTCCCCTAGAAGTTATTGACCCACCAGTGACAGCTCCCAGCATGGGATGCAGGCTCAAGAGCTAGATGTCCAATATGGGATATATTGGTTAAAAGTTACCAGTGCTCCCTGCCTGCTCCTTTTCCTCAGCAACTAAATCCCCCATCCCCCGCGTATTCCGAGCAGTCTGCAAACAAGCAGATCTATACCCCCACCCCTGCCCCACTCGTCTGGGGCGCCGAATGAGGCTGAAATTGACGTGCAGGGTCCTCAGGAAAGGAGAAAACCTCTGACTCCAGAAGTGAGCGGGGGATGAAACGCCCCTCCCGCTAAAGAGATCTGCTACCAGGGGACAGGCAAGAAAACCCGTCTGTTTTCCTCTGCAAAATGGCCGCTGTGTCCCTGGACAGGACAGGAAGTTTCCCAGGGGGGTGTAGGGTTATAAATCATGCAAGCTACTTAAGGAATAATTTACTGCAGCATCCAGGGGGGAAAAGAACCACCAAAGTTACCAGAGGTCAAACTCTCTGATACCCCAGAGGAATCCAAACCAATAAGTTTTCACCCCACATGTGACGCTTGTCCATGCCTCTGCTTTGACGGACTGAAATGTGACTGAAATCAAAGACACGGGCTTTCCACATGTGAATCGCCTTCAAAGTACCCTCTTGCGTGGCAAGCCCTACAGAATGCAAAATGCTTCGATATACCCCAAGAACAGGCAGCCAATGTCTAGCAAATGGAGAGGAACTAGAAGGAACTTGGTTTGTTTTTCCTGCTAAACGCCTGTTGCCCTGCAGAAGCATGATGAATGCGGTGGCACAAGAAGGGGAGACTACACCAAAACCTGGGGTATCTTTGGAATATGAAAGAATTTGCTTCAAGAAAGAGGAAAAACCTGTTCGTGATGGGGCTGGAAGTGAAACAAATGAATAGACCAGGCGGACTCGCGAAGGAAAAGGAGCTCGGTCGTGTGTTAGACAACAACGCCGTCTGTTGGCTGGCTGCAGAAGCAGCAGAAAAGCCAAACAGAAGCTAAAAGCTATTTGGCAAGTGCTTAATAGAAAGCAGAGGGTGCTCCTTCCCCAGGGAACTGTGAAACCTGCATATCAAACATGTGGACACCGTATGGGACCCCATAAATCAGCTGCAGAATCCGGAAATGCGACCAGACTTGAGGGCCGGTCCCCCAGCTCTCGGTTACCAGGTTACAAGGATGGAAGCCGTGTGATTTCATTTCCGAGGTTGTGTTGCTCTGTGTTCTTTAAGATCAGTACCTGTCGGTGCCCTCCTTGCGCCTGCGTTCTCTCCAGAGCCCCCGTTTGGATTTGAACTAGGGTGACCATACTTCTATAGACGCTGGAACTCAGGGTGCTGGGGGGGGAAGAGATTGATCGCACCCCTGGCTGGAAGCGGGTTCCATTATTTCCACGGTTTACAGTTTGGTTCACTGGCTCCCAGACCCCCCACTATAACATGTTTTCTAGCCCCCCCCTGCAGATTTCCCAAAGGGAGAACAGGACCCCACATGGGATAGCCTGAGCCCAAGCCCTCCCTGCCCCCCTGTGCAGGGCTGACAGCCCTGCCCTTCCCACGTGAGGCTGGTGTCACCACTGCCCCTCTCCATGTTCCTCTGCACCCCACTTTTTTGGCCAAAGTGTTTATTTGTCCTATTTGCCAACTGATCAAGTTAGCCTAACAACAAGAACAAACGCCCAAGCTTGTCAAAAGTTGGGGTGGCCAGAACAGGGCAAAATGAACCACATGGGGGCCCTAATTTTAACTCAGCCATGCAAACAGACCTGGGTTGTCAACAGGCGGCCTTGAACCTTGGACTTGAGGGGCTAAAGGCATAAGGCTCTACCCTATGAGCTAAAAGCCAGCTGGCCCTTAGATAAGGCTAGAGCCAACTTCACTCTTCCTTCTCAAAGCCTCTGGTTTACACATTTATGATTATGTGCCTCCTTCTCCTGTGTTTATCCAAGTACAGTAGCCTAAGAGCATTTCAAACTTGAAGCAATTGCCTTTGATATTTCAAACTAGTCCCTCTACAAACAACACATACATAAGAGCAGCCCAACGGGCAACTTCTCGGAGGATTACTGAAGTGTGGTAAATGCACTAGAGATACTAGAAAATCAGAAACTGATGATGAATAAATACATTATGAAATCCTGGCAACTTGCATTGCTCTCGGGTATAATCGTAAGGCCCCAGCACAGTCTGCAGGATCTACTTACAGACTTCATGTGTAGTTGTGCTTGGTACATGCCTAGAATATTTGTTGTACCTCACTTGATCAATGAACAGGGGGCTATGTACTGGTGTGATGGTGGGTGAATTAGCACACTCTTGACTGGTTAAGAAAAACGAACTATTCTGATCTGAGAAATACAGCCCCCAGAGTAAGATTTGAAAAGAACCTAACCTTAAAATCAGATCCCAGGGCTCAATAAAAGGGGTTATTCAAATTAAATTCCATCCCGCTGTTGGTGACAGCACTTACCAAATTGGCAAATCTAGTTTGTTAGACTCCAGGTTAACGAAACACACGAACACAGAGCAGTGAAACAGGAAGTCCTCACTTTCCTGTGGTCACTTAGTTTCACGTGCCTGGCTGGAGGGTCATGCCTGTGCTCCGTGCTCCGTGTCTTCACCCAGTCCCCGTGAGGTGTCAGCAACAATTTACAAGCCCCTCCTCTATGCACCTTGCCGTACTAATCAACGTAGTTCCATTCAAGAGATGGGCCCAAAGCAAAGCACAGAACCCAAACCACCTGTCTGGTGACCGCAGCTTGAACTTCACGGCTTGGGTTTGTCCGTCCACAAGGAGGCAAACCAGAGCGCCCTGGATCTGATCCCTTCCAAACCTTAGGGCAGTGTTTCTCAACCTTTTTTTATAAAGTACCCCTTTAAAAAAAATTATAAGTACTCCCAGTACCTACAGTTTTCAGACACACGATTTTTTTTTTTTACCATTTCAACACATTTGTTTAAACAATTTAATCGTAGGCAGGCAGGCAATGAAATTTGTGGGTGTAAAAAGTACAAAAATAATAAAGCGCTGTAAAACTTGAAACAAAAATTCAGTTTTCTCCAAATTTCAGTGGTGTTGACTTCTCTTGAGTACCCCTAAGGGTACTTGTACCACTGGTTGAGAAACGCTGCTTTAGGGGGACTTTGCTCAATTTGTTACACTCCAATTTGGGGGGTAACTTTACCCCATCTTTGCCCAGCCAGCCTGGCATAAGCACAAACCACACCCTGAAGTCAATGGTTTGGGCCCACCGTACACCTGGGAGGTACATAGCTCCACAAGTCAGTTACCACAACAGACAGGACACCAGACGCTGACCCGATCCTGCAAGGAGCTGAGAGCCCTCAGTCCCCTGGGAAGTCAATGAGAGCGGAGGGTGCTCAGCCCTTGGATCAGAACCCCTCGGTCTCTTTCCAGAAGATGTTGTGTGTGTATCCAAGGGCTGAGATGCAACATGCTCATGGAGTTGCTATGGCAACTTAGTCCTGAATACCAGAGGAAACAGTGGTACAAAAACCTCCTGTATTTGCTGTGTCCATTACATCACCCTCCTCGTGGGCTCTGCAGAGATGTGCCAAGCTAGGCTCAGCCCCTACTGCACCTCGCCTGGTGGCTGTGTCCCCCACCCTGCCCCTAGGGGGCTGGATGCGGGGGGGATCAGGAGGCATCCCCAGATGTAAAATAGCTCCAGTGCCTGTAGGTCACTCCAGGTGTTGGGGCACTGGGCTCATCTGGTCTGGGCAGTTCAAGATGGGGATTCGGCTGTTTAATCTCATCCCATTATTCCGTTAGCCCTGCCATTCTAAGCTTCTTTTCAGGGGCTTGTGCTCATGTTCCAGGGCTGAATTTTCAAAGGTGCTGGGTCCTCCCAACTCCGGCTGCAGTTAATAGGGCTGCAGGTGCTCAGCGCTACTGCAGTTCAGCCTGTCGCTTTGTGGAGCTGGCCAGCTGAAGCAAGATGACAAGCTACTCTCTCTTCCTCCCATGCGCCCCAGCATCTCAGGGAGGTCGGGCTCTGTCTGAAATCCTGGGAGGCAGGCAAGGCTGGGGCAGGAAGGCAGCCCAGTCGCATGGAAGGATTGGCCTGGTCCTCCTAAGACTATTTCCTGGCGGCAAATCCCTTGCACCTGGAAATTCTGATCATTTTTATTGGACCATGAACTTAGCCAGAGCTACATAAAGGCAGCTGTGCGGCCTAAAGCCCCAGTTCCCGAGCATGGCCGTGCTCGACTGTCCTGGTAGCCTGCTGACTGTGACACTCTGGTCCCGCGTCTTCTCTGTACCGACCCTCACCGCTGCCACCACCCAGTCAACAAGGTAGGCCACCGGCAGGGGCCAGTAGGTCCTGCCTAGAGCAGGGGGCTGGACTTGATGACCTTCTGTGGTCTCTTACAGTTCTATGATTCTATGATTCTATGGCCAGAGCAAACGTTGCAGATCAGAGTGCAGGGAATAGAATAGGAGCATGGGGGGGAGCTGAGGGCCAAATGCTGTTCCCCATTACAGCAGGGTGACCCCAGTGGACCTAGTCACAGTGGTGCCAGCTGTGTTATCCCTTTCCAGCTTTCAGCTCATCTGGTTCACTCACTCGGCTCCTTGCCCCCCCTGGAGAGAGTCCCCGCCCCTCCATGCTGCCTTTTCTTCCTCCCCCCTTCTGAATCAGTACCCCCCTTTCTCCTCCAGCCCCCCAGCGTCCTTGGGATGCCCCGGGCCAACTCCCGCCCGTCCACGGCAGGAAACCCCCATAGGCTGAGTCACGCCCCGACGCCCGCTTGCGAGCGCCCCGCCACACACGTGCGCCACCCCACGCCCGCTACGAGCCCGCAACATTCCATTCCTCTGCGTTCCACCCTCTCTGATTGGCCTGGGCAGAGACCTCCCCTTCGCGGATTGGCTCCGGCTGCCTGCCATGTAACCAGCCAGTTCCACCCCCCTCCCCTTTTATATCAGCTGAGCACGGACAGGGGGCATCGCGCAGGGACGGGACCGGGAAAGAGGCGGAGTCTTAGCAGCGCCTGGCGTGAGTGGGGGTCCCCCCCCCTTTGGTCTCGGAGTGGGGGGGCCTGGAAGGAAACTTGGAGTGGCTCTGGCCGGGCTGCCCGAGCTCTGGGGGGGTCGCTCGCTCTACCACGCCCCGTCCCAGCACTTTCTTTGGGGCGACTTTGCCCTGGGGGGGCTGGCTCTGCACCCCCTGGCTAGGTTGCCTGAGGGGCGTCCGCTGGCACTGCGCTCCGGGTTGGGGGGGGGTGCCC